AAAATGTTTATCTTAAAAAGTCTAGCATGTCGAAAAAAGTCAAAACAATGTCACCGTATTGTGTGTTGAAAAAGTCAAAAAAAAGTCATAGTATTGTATGTCAAAAATGAGTAAGTCATAACAAAGTCATAGTATAGTATATCATAACAATTTGATATAAATACCATAAGGTTAGCCTGTTTTAAAATGAATTGTGTGTATTTCATCAGATTATTTGTATTGGCAGGCATAAGGCTAATACTATTTATATATCTGCAATACTATCAAATTATTTCGATTCAAATGTTGAAATAAACCACAACTATATTCTAGCTCATTGTCTAACACCACTCAATAACGTTATAAATCAAAAACCATGGCATCAATAAGCACATTTTTTGTGTCCCCTAGAGACAGTTTCTGCAGAGCTACTTGCATATACAGTATATTACATATATATACATATTTGGTTGTGTTTTTGTAGTGAAAATGTTTTTTTTAATGTGCTTGTGTTTTGTTTTTTGCATGGCTTTTCTTAATCTTTAGTTCGTTGAGCTCTCAGGGCTACTGTAGTTATTGGCCCAAAGTAAAAAACTAGTAATCTGTCAAATCTGTCTGTTTTTGAGAGGCAAAACATGAGCTGCAGCTCTTACTTTGGCCTGCAGGTCCTCTGAGCTGTTGGCGTCCATGTAGAGTTCCAGCAGTTTGGTCAAGAGGTTAGCTGTGGCCACCGCCTTAGCGTGCTCAGGGGTGTGATGACCTATCTGGCCGATGGACCAGGCTGTGGCCGCCTTGATGTGAGGCTCATGCTCCTCGGACAGACACAAGGCCAGCTGGGACACCCCCTGTGGGACAGGAAGACACACAGCATGATAGGGCTGGTTCAGTCAATATGACCTATATACTGGACCTAGTCTGTGGGTTTAAGGAGGGGAATCACAAGAGAGATTACCACCTTGGAGAGAATGACAGCCATGGCGAGGCTCTCGCTGTGAGCTGCCACATATCCCAGCATCATGATCCCAGGCAACCGCAGGTTTCCACAGCAATCGCCCAGATTGTCTATCACAGCTCCCATGGCACCACAATTCACAATCACCTGGGACAGCTGGAAACACAGACACGGATTACTTTTGTGTCCAGACATGCACGTCGGTGCCCACAAGTGTGAGAGAGTGCCGTACCTCCGGTGTGTGCTTCACCACCTCCCTCATCAGAGTGGTGACGTTCTTCTTGACATACTCATCTGGGTCTTTGAGGCAGGCCATCGCTGCAGGGAAGATCTCAGCCTCTATCACCATCTCTGCCAGGCTGACCGAGTGTTTGCTGATCTGACTGAGGGCTGATAACACCTGCCTCTGAATGGAGACCAAAATGATGTCTGAATTATTTCCGGAGCTCATGCATTTTTTTGTAAATTCAATCACAAGCTTCATGTCCAGCATCTACGCTGAAATCTCACTGTTATTTATTAGATACCTGGTTCTTTTGAGCTACACTTGGAGGTTACATTTATTCAATTTAATTAAATTGACTATGTAGTTTTTTTTTAAGTTGAAAAAAATCTACCTGCAGTTAATGCTAATATTCTTTAAATTAAAAAAAATCAAGATGCCACTTTTTGCTCAAATGTCACCACTTTTTCAGGTTTCCAAGGCTGATAGAAACCTGACTTCTTGTATGGCTGTTTTGCTTACAAGATCTGTAATGCACACACAATTTAGATTTTCTATTCCACCACGTAATGTTTTGTCAGAAATGTTGAGTTACTAAGATGGTAATTTGTCCTCATAGTAAAATGTTCGTCTGTGATGGAGAATGTTTCCTGACATTCTGCATTTCAATAAAAATGTTTTGAAGATTTCTTTCTAAATCCCAATTCATCCACAATTGGATCACAACGCATTGCATGAAATGCTCATAGGGCAAGATGTTTGTTAAAAAGGTGAATAAAAGGGCAACAAGACAAATAGATGGAGAATGGAGAATAACATTGAGCCCAATAGAATCATAAAATAAATAAAATATATATATATATAGTTAGACGTACGTCTATAGCTTGAGTACATTTTTTGAACAGAACATTTTTCACAAATATGCATTTAAGGGTTCTGCTATAATCATTCATTCCTATTATGTGAGTCTTTTGAGCTCTCCTACCTTCAGTTTGGCGTCTGGGTTGAGGATCATCAGTGCCAGATGTGCAATGGCTCCATTCTCCACCACAGTCTCGGCAAGTTCAGGTGTGTGCTTGGAGATGTCGCTGAGGGTGGAAGCTGCGATGCGTTTGAGGGCCATCACAGGCTCCAGAAGACACAACACCAGCAGGGGGACCGCACCCGCATCCACGACCGACTGAGACAACACTGCACAGCAATAGAGAGGTGTGAAACATGGACACAAACACACACAAAGGTAAAGGATGTAGTGCCAGTGCAAGGAGAGAATGCTGGCAAAGGATGGAAATCATAGAAATCTAAGCATGTCAGTGTGTGTTCCTTACATGCATTATGTCGTGCGATGTAGCCCAGAGCCCAGGCAGCAGCCTCCTTCACCCCGGGGTCAAACTCCTCCAGGCTGAGAACCAGGGCATCAACTCCCCCGCAGTCCACCACAGCCTGGGACAGCTCAGGGGAGTGTTTGGCAACTGCACGCAGCACAAACGCTGCTGCCTTCTTACAGAACCTCTGAATACAAACACACACACACATCCATTGTCATGGCCCAAATTAAGGTATAAACCAACATTAGACTTCCATTGTGAATGAGATACTAGGCAGCTGTAGTGTTCCATGAGTTGATGACAAATATCCAAGTAGAGCCTGGAATGAGATTTGATATTTATCCCCTGTGTTGTAAAAAAAAAAACAGTTTGATTCAATCACCTCATGTATCCTCGTCCTTGTGTTTTGTTCTCATATACTTTAATTCCTCATTGTTTGGGGTTCCATACCTACTGCATGTGTAAGAATAGGAATAATTGCAAAAGTCAACAAATTATTTTCTTTCAAAAACAACTTTCTTTTCTTTTCCAGTCAATAGAAACACTGGGCTTTTCATATTTGTGTGTTGTCAACCCACTGTAAACAGCTGTAAAGCCACATCAGACATTGTGATTTTGTTTCCTAAAGGTTCCGATGGAGATTTTTCGCTAAAGTGCAACAAAATTCTTCTTATCATATTTGACATAAAACGTTGAAAAATGTAACCTGAATTGTGTGCAATGTTATGCTTATAAGAGACTGCAATATCCAATTAATAACAAGAGCTAAACCCTGTGTGTCTTCTCTGAAAGAGCTGAGAGGCAGGAAGAGAGAAAACAAAGGCCTGGTTGCTCTCATGGTAAAGGGCTCTTAGGTTCTGAAGTAGCCCCCAGGCGAGCTGCCAAGTAGCCCAAAACCCACTCTAACATCCAGGGGGCTGACCCTGAGGGCCTGCAGGGCCTCCTTCCTCTCTCTTTCTCAGACAAACACGCACACACACACACACACACACACACAAACACACCAGCCTCTAAAGGGCGGAGACGGAGCATTGGACAACCTGTCTCTATGAAACTATAGCACTTGTGTTACCAAAGGATGAGATACTGACATTCTGCGAGACCAGAGAGTGGACCAGCTGGGGCAGGATGTCTTCCTTCACCACGGCCGTGGCCAGGTCATCGCTGTGGTCTGCCAGGCGGCCCAGAGCCAAAGCTGCCGTCTGCTGGATGCTGGGGACCACATCCAGCAGGAGGGGACGCAGCATGGACATCACACCTGCAGGAGAAGAGAGCAGTTAACACTTGGAATAGCAAAGCTAAAGCTAACACGGTCCACTGGTTATAATCCAGCGTTGGTTTCTTACCAGCATTTTGAAGGATTTCTATGTTTTGTGGTCTGGCTGCCAGATCAGCGACAGCTTGCACAAACTGCATCCTTGATTTCTGATACTGCTCAAAAACTGCAAAACACAAACAGACAGAAAGACAGTTTGACTTTAAGCTGCATAATTATTTTTATGAACCAAAACAGCTGGTGGATCTAACCTTGAATGATCTGTCGTTGAGTCATTGTCACCCTGATGGAAAAACGCCTCCTCCTAAAGAGTTATTATTTATTTTAATGACTTTATCACAGGATTCAATGCAGCGTTTCTCCTGGCCGTCTCCAGGTTTGAGTTGGGTGGTGTTGTTGGTAAGTGTTGGCGTGGCAACAGACAGGAAGCAGAATGTCGCTCCGGTCGAAGATCGTCTCGTGTAAAGATGACTCACCCTGCCACTTTCGCAATCCGCCTTTTTTTAGCCTGCACAGCATGGCATTGTGCTCATTTCTTTCTTTTCAACTTCTGCTGGCCTTGCCTGCTCGAGGAGTTTGTCCTCAGATGAGCTGCCTGTACGAGTTCTTCTTGTTGCTCTTTGTAAATCCAGTATTTAAAAAGTGACATGGCCAAAATAAAGCTTATTATTATTATTATTATTAAGCCGTTATAAAATGTGGGCTCATTGAAATGTGATCACTCCAAACCCTCCTTCTCTCGGTTGGTGTTTGCGTGGGTCTAATTGTGCTGTCTAGCCTGCAGATGACAGAAAAGAAAAGGCGATGATAACAATATGTGAAGGAATTTCAACAAAAGTAGGCCTATGAATAGAAATAAGTCCAATCGGGCAAACAGACATGGTCATGTTATCCTACAACTCAATGGCTGAAATAAAGTCTATTTTAGATAATCCGACCCAGGACTTATTTATTACTAAGCCTATATTATTATTTCAAAGGTAACACATGTTATGCAGCCTAATTAACAAACAATTCAACGTATTTTAAAATCCACTAACATAAACCTAAAAGGTGTCTTTGTAATTAGATCATACTCACGTTTTTTCACACCAGATGTAGCCTATAAATGCAGTGCGTTTTCGATTCCGTTTGAGGTCATGTTTTTACCGGAGGGATCATTTTCATATTTAATTACAACAGTAGTTGTACCATCACTCAGTTAAAGAATAGATCTGTGTACTAAATCCAAATGAGCAACATTTTCGTTTGTATTGCTCTATAAGTCGACGTTATGAGGTAAGGAAGATGTTCTGTGAGAGAATAGGCTAAAATGTAAACACGTGTTTCCAATCTGATATCATTCTTTCATCTGTCCATCCGTTTGATAAAGGCCTTTTCTTAAACTCTGCTGCCTTTTATTTATTTTGGCCAATGTTTAGGTTTTATTGGAAAGCTAGATTTTATTAGCCCAACACATATTTTTGAGTGGTTTAAACATTAACTCACAACTGTGCGTAGGTTATTTCTTTTATATTATCAATTCAACTTTGAAAAAAATAATTTTGAAAGAAAATTTTGAAAGAAAAATAGTTAATCAAAACTTTTTTTTGTTTTACCATTGGTCAGCCTACTTTAAGCGTCCAAGATATGCTTAAATTGTGACGATGAGCGTTACTTGACAATGAAAATCACACTGAAATTCAGTTCAGCAACATAAAATAATGAATTGTTGCCTCGTAAAGAAATGAAACAAAGTCCATTTTAATTTCCCATTAAAACAGCTGCATTTCAGTGCAGTAAATGCAATTACTCATGCGATAAATCAATATAAAACAAAAAAAGGCTTCAATCTTCATTGAATGCATTCAGAAACATGATTGGATCACGGGCCAGACCTCTTAGCTGCATAGCTGGCCTCCTTTTAACCGAGTTATCTACATCACTGCTGATTCACAAAGACATCTGGCGCTTTGCACCTTCTGCCCATTTGAATTATTCCTTTATTTGGTTGCTTTTAATGCAAAACACCAGACTGACTCGTGATCTTCCATCACACAGAGAAAATCGTTCTTCAGTAAGTGTAAAATGTTTTATTTAGATGTTTTATACTGTGCAACAGTAACAATACAATAGGTTGTCCATACAATCGAGCGATATACAAATACGGAAAACACGGGAGACATCAAAACATTTGCCATTGAGCATGACATGGAGCTGAACAGGAGCCCACGTCATTCCCGTAGAACAAAGGGGGATATGAGAATAACACCATCGCTGATTAAATATGCATTTTGTTTATATTTACACGTGGATTCTCTAAAACTGCTTAAAACGCGTTAAAGACGTGGTGGATAAGCAATCTGATTCCACTGCAGCTACAAGAAACTGATTTTTTTTTCCAGTAAAAGGCAATTTAAAGTTGTTTTTTCCCCTCCATGTCTTCCATGAAGCCAACAGCGCCATACACACGTATATGTTCCCTTCAGATGGAACAAGATCGATGTCTGAAACACTTCCAAAAAACCCGTCGAAACGAGACTTCTGGGGTAAACACGCAGAATCCTCTTTTATCAAAGAAACAGAGTTATCATGAGCATGCATGTTTAAACAGACCGTTTCAAAATATCCCAACACACATGAAATAAATCATGATAAACACGTTGAATCTGAAAAATGTAGAGGAAAATATAAAAGTCTATCTTCAGTCACTTCTGTAAAATAAAGATGCAGCTTTAAAATGGGATAAATGCTTGTCCATCTCTTTTCCAACTTTCTTTTTTTTTTGTCATCATCAACATCTGCTTTCATAGGCTATTAAAAACATTCCCATCCTCCCCGACTTGCTCATTCCTCTTATTTTGAAATGTATCTGATTCCACTACGTTTAAACTTACATGTGATGCCATAATATTTAGAACAACAAATGGAGAGAGAGAGAGAAAAAGAGATAACATTGTCTACACAATGGAACTATGTTGGCATGAAAACAGTAGGCCTATTAGCTGAGCGGGTGTCTGGCGTTGACTGGTCGGGTCCGGAGTCCCGCGTCATCCGGAGGAGGTCGACGAGCCGTTCAGCGAAACATTCCGGGCCTTGCTGCCGCCGCTACCGCTGCCGAACTGAGTGAAGGACCGACTGGGTGTCGGAGGAGGAGGGGCGGCGGCAGCCGGGGTCCCGTTGACTTTAATGGGGCCGTGCGGGAGCTGGGGGTGCGGGGACTGCGCAGGCGTGCCGGGGCTCGGCAGCGACGAGGACGTGGACGGAGCCCCGGCGGGACTTCCAGCTTTGTCGCTGGCAGAATCGCTCTCGGGACCGGATCTGCTCGCGCTGTTCTGGCCTTCCTGCTGCGCGTGGCTCACCTTCATTTTCTTGCAGTTGGGTCGGACTCTGTACTTCAGCGGCAACGGGCCGTTCTGCGAGGAAGGGTTGAATAAAGAGATAATGAACTATAAGAACTGTTGAATTAAAACCAGAAACACAGCCTCCTTCACACGTTTAAAGATGTCTCGAACCCTTAATTGGTCTACAACTAAATTAACTCCAAACGAATTTGTCCAAACAACCTATTTCAAAATACTGTCTGCTCAGATGCATTCGTTTCTTGCATCCATGATCAAAATATTTTCAGGATAAGCACTTCTCCTTCGCCTAATAACAATAGTAAAACATATATATTCAGGTCAGTTATATTTTTTCATTCCACAGGAAATAGCCTCCATGTGGGCCTACAAGCCAAATTAAGATTTTAAAATGTATATAAAATTGTCCCTGAACCCATCCAACGACCTCCTGTCTGACTGCATTTAATGTAAAAAAAAAATATATTTATTTTTTATTTTTTTTAAATTGACCACATTAGTGTCAGCACCACCAAACATGGGGAGGAAACTCAGTGCAGTGCCTATAGCCTATTGGATTTAACTTAAATCACAATATGTGACCTTCCAGTTATTAATGAGTAAATTAATTCAATACACTCATTTGAAGAATAACATTGTTCGTCTTAGTCATTATTTTTAAGTAATTTGACATGGCATAAAAAAATAAATGTATTTAAATGTTTGCTCCAGCTGATAAGCGAAAATATAGCAAAATGTATTTGATAATGTAGAGGACTTTAATTAATACAATATCATACATTACTGGGCAAAATAAGATGATTTGATTTACGATTGTTAGTTAGACGCCATCAACGTGGATAAACAAACTGAAATCAAGTCTATTTTGACCAAAAACATCCCTTACTCTTCTCCAAGTGTAGATATATGCGATATCCATTAAAGTGTAGTAATCTTTCAGAGGTTCGTCTTCATACATGACTTCAACCTAGACAGAAAAAGAGAAAAGTACATTTTAATAAAAAATGAACTAAATCTGCATTTAAATAAGATTTCAAAATAAGCCACATAATATCACAATTCCCTTTGACAGAAAACAATATATTCACATAGTTTCTATGTCCAATTTATATAGCCCAAAATGTATAAATAAATAAATAATCAATTAATCGATACATACCTGGTAGGCATTCGGGATGTCCATTTTGCTGCGCAGAAACTTCCTCAGATGCATGACTGTCATGGCTGCTGGACACTGCAGGTACCTTTTGTTAGCCACCTGCACATTATGCAAACATTCCAAAGTCATACATAAGACAATATATTTGAATAGAAATTGATTTAGAATGACTAGGCATCTAAATCATTACAGACCGGTCCACCTTAAAAGCTGAAAAACAATTAGCAAAACAACTTGAAGCCTTTCAGAGGAAACAATGTTTGGTTCAAATGTGTCAGATGTCACAACAGAGATGGACAAGTAAATACTCAGTTGCAGCCTTAAAAAAAAAAAAAAAAAAAGTTGTCTGCAGTACCTTTTATTATTGTTTTGTTAAATGTTAACAAGAAAAAACACTGGCAGAGAAGAGAATGTGGCAAAAATCAACTCACCATATTTTGATCTTTAGACTGCTTGTCCTCCAGTGAACCTCCCAGTCTGCAAATAATTAAAATAGAAAATATGAATACTTTGCAGCTATGCGACACTTGTTTGTGTGCCAACATCATATCTACATTCAATAAAACAAATTGATTATTCACAATAAATAACAGGCTATTTAATAATCAAAAACATATAATTTAGTTATATTTGACACACACAGTACTTGTGGCTTATTACTCATGTCAACAGCCCTTATAAAGTTGTAAAATTACAATGACAAATAATTCTTGAAATAATTTCAGTAAGGCTGAAACAGTGAGAGACAATCAATTACATTTCTATCAGTGCCTTCCATGTATTTAATAAGACTGCATAAGTGATATCCAGTAATGATTTTAGGACAAAGGCAACTTTCTTAACCTGGAGAAAATGTGTGTCGAGGACCCAACTTAGCAGGATATGACTCTCTTGGATATCTATCATGGAGGACAGGAAAAACTAAGCTTGGAGGATAAAGGACCCTCTGCGTTCTGATGAAGATTACCAGAAGTGTTGATCGGTCTCGCAACACTCAAGTTGGATCTGATCAATTAGAATGTAGTATCTTATCTGAGACAATACGTCAAAATCTGAACAAGAGCTGATCAAATACATGACAATATGTATCAAATGCTTTCCTTAAGCATATTATGATGTTATAATTAAGACATTTCTTGCCACTGTAACTGAATTAAATAATCAGTGTATTACTCTGTCAAGAACTACATTAAAAAAAATGAAGCATTCATAATTATTGGAACAAAACCAAACAACAAAAGCCGACCTGCAGTGATCAAAGAACTCAATAGAGAGGCTGATGATCTCATCATCTGTAATAATCCTCTTGTCCTCGTCTGCCACCTCTCCACGGTCCTCATTGGATCCATTAGAGGCTGTCGGAAATCACAGAAAGATTAAGTAAAAAAAAAAAACGGAAAATTAAGTAAAGAACAAAAAGAGTCAAAATATAACTTGGAACATTGGCCTGCAGCAACGCGCCAACCGGAGGGAAATTATTTCATTTCATCCAAAACTTAGGAAATGAAATAATAAAGATATACGTGCTTTCTAACTCACCATCTACGGGATGCTCCGCATAAAAGTCTCTCCTCCTCTTCATTTCATCTGAGGACATTCAGGAAGAAAAGCAATTACAAGCCGGTTCACGTTCAGTTCTAACACAGAAATAAGTCTAATTCTTAAATAACACAGAATCAGAATAGTGGTATATGGAAAAATGACCAACATTTGGTAGCATTACATCATGGGTCATTTCAATACAGCAAAAACAGCCTGTGCTTCACAACCAGCCAAACATTTTACACCCATCTCATCATAATACTCGTCCTTATAGGAGGGAAATATATGAGACATGGCAGTAAAACAACATGGAGTTTTAGCCTCACTTGTTTCGAGAGGTTTGATCAACAGCGTACAGAATGACACCAAACAAAAGCAGCACATGACAAAGTCACCACAAAAAAACAGCTGTGATGACGACAACAGATCTCAGCCACCCCGGCACCACATTTATAACAGATTATAAACATATTGAAAATATAAATATGTGTAACTCTTCTTTTGTCGGTAAGGGGGGTAGGATACATTGTTATGTCTTCACTTCTCATTTGCAGAAGTGGTAATACAGTTGTTGGTGGTGTCCCAACACTGCCGACTATATGAAACCACTGATCAAAGTGAAGCTATGGGTGCAGATACAGAGACAGAAAGTAAACACGCGTTAGATCTAGACATGGTTTGACCGTCACGCTCTTACTTTTGAAGAGGCCGGGGACCAGCTTGTACACAATGTCCTGTAGAGTTTTGTCAGACCTAGAAAGAGGAAGAGAACCTTCAGTCGAGTCATTAAGAAACTGGAAACCTCAACATTTGCAGTTGAAACCTTATAAAGAAAACCTGATACAAATGGTTTGAATTGTTCCGATGAAGAGAAATAACAGCATAGTACGGTAAACATATGGTTAAAGTATGGTTCCTTGTTTGTAAATGCGTCGCTTAACATATACATTCATACTCAATTCTTGCATAGCAGCACATATATATACACACAGCCTGCATGTGACACACAGATATTCAATAGAGATCCATGAGTGGTATTCAATGCTGTGAAAAATCTCATATATTATGTAAGAGTGTTCCTTGTGTCTTTGAAAGCAATCACTTGCTGATCGAGCTGTTCAGCGCACAAATGGGAAAAACACAAAGGGCAAGAAAGAGGAAACAACGCATGATGTAGCTGCCAAACATTACCGATAAAAATGAAATTAAATAAAGTCTTAATATATTGAAAGAATATTAAAAGTATACTGAGGTGCATAAATTCACAAAAAACTCATTAATTGTTTCATCTGCAAAACTTGTATCATAAGGAAAGATTCATTTGCTTGAATAATAAAGAAAATCTATATTCAAAAACAATAAAAAAAGATGCAAAAATCCAAGTAACCACATGTTCTCACCTAATGTTGAGCAGAGGCTTCGTTTTATGCACTTGTACGTCACAGATGGGACAGTATTTGCTGGCTTCCAGATAGCGCACAATGCACATTTTGCAAACTGCAAAAAAAGACGAAAAAAAAGTCAACATGTCATCTGAAAGGACATCCTGAATGTACACTGTAAGCTACATCTGGTTTAAGGATTTGTTGAAGAGACCTCTCATTTGCAGCATTAACAGTGTCAGTGTGTGTGTGCAGGGAAACCTGCAAGAAAGCCTCCTGTAGGCTAGAACTTGATGCAATGTATTCTCATCAGCGTGCACAACTCCATGTTAACATTTCCCGCCTATACACAACATTGTTTTTGTCAGCTTACTCACATGAGTGAAGGCATTCAATGATGGTCGTTGCGTCTATGAAATATCCTCCGCACAGGACGCACATGAGATGAGGATTGAGCTCGGTAATCTTTATCCTGGTCGTCCGATGCATGTTGAGAGAGGGGGGACAACAATCCTGCGTGGGGGAAAAAAAAAAAAAAAAAAAAAAATAAAAAAAGCGCAAGTCAAAACAACGCATGCATGGCCGGAGAGGAGACATCAGAGGGCAACGCGGACCATTTGGAGAGGAAAAAAGGTCGCTGTTTGTTTGATTGTGTTAAGGAAACATCATCTTTTATGCTAATCAAATAATAACCAAAGGGGAAGGAGCTGCGCGGCAGATTGATGGGCAGCAGCGCCACAGAGTCACCTGACCGAGGCGCAGTGAATATTCATAAATCAATCACTTTGAGATCAATGCAGCCGTGCGCTCCTCTCCGTCGCTTCATCTTAAATCAACATGGTTGAACACATGGCAACATCAGAGGAACAGTGCCGTGCAGGTCGAACCGCAGACGGGCTTTTAGTTCAAAAAGGTTTACTCGGCTCCGGCGGAAACAGGGCATCGATGGGACAGAATAATCTGGGTTTCATGGACGTGTTCTGCCATATCTGACGAGTCGGATAATCTGATGTTAAATACGTATGCGGCACGTGATTGCGCATCAACAACAGAAACTGCAGTTTTATATTAGAAGCAGAAATCTATAGTCTTGTAGGCTAATAAGTATAAAAACAAATCGGACCAATGAAGCATCAAATGTAGGCTGAATAAATTGGGCATCTCGTCTGATATCGTACTTCTCTATAAAAATGTACACATTTAGTGGCCACTCCACTTTATAACAGGACGTTTACCCAAAATTGAGAAATTCTGGTGGAAAAGATAGGTACGGGGATCTGTGGCGCTTTGGGCTGAGTGTTGGTGAGCGGGAGGAGACACTGCGTCAGGTGTGCCACACGGGT